GACTTTATAAGCAAATATAAGGATCCACAATATGTAAAAAATATATGTCTTAGCAGTAAATTCCAATACATTTTCGTGTTCGATTTGGTGATGCAATAGAACACTGATTCTTCAGAATATAGGATTGCCTGTGAGCACACCGTTAGTGGCTGACTCTGCTCTTGACCTAGTATGGAAACTATAGGTACGTTGTATCTTACGACTCTGGCTCCTTTTCGGCTTGCGTGCTAGCTATCTGTCTCGACGGCTTCATTTGAAATTTGCCTTGGGACAGCTTTAAGACAAGAGGCCCACATCCAGTTAGCCTCCGAAAAGCTGCCCGATGCCAGCTCTAAGTGTGGAGGAAGCGTTTCAATCTGCTCTCGCCAACTAATAGCATCTTCCTCTCTTTTTAGGATTATCCTCAGGTTATCGAGAACTGCTTTATAGCTGCTCAGTGAAACCCGGTAACTACGTTCATGCAGTCTCTGTCCTCCAATCTGGTCAACCCGATGCAGGAATTCTCTCAGCCGGAGTCATTCCCGCCGATGGACCTCATCTCGAGTTCTGGCTGTGACAGTTTCAGCTGTCCGTCGCTCTCTGCTTCGAGCACGCTTTCATCGGAAGATTATACGGAGCTTGAGACAGATCAGGATATAATATCTCCACTATGCTCGCCTTCACTGGAGTCGACGTATGCTTATGATCTTGCTCATGCACTTTCAAATTCAATGGACAAGGCGTCTCTGAATGAGGCTGGCACTGCTACACCAAGACCTCTCCAATTCGATCGTAAAGGCTACTTTCATGGGCCTGTAAAGGTAGAGGATGATGGGTACGAAGGCGGGAACGAGACTGGACGTGTACCGAACTTGTTAGCGAAAAGAAGACTCTATAGCCTCAGAAATCGCAAGTCAAGTATACTGTTTCGGACCAGTCGGGTTGAACAGCCAGTCGAGGAGTACACGTCCGATAACTTCAAGGTTATGGCCATGGCTTGTGATACTCGTGGGAATTCTGCTTCTCAACTGCGGAATGCAAGACCTCACAGCTCTCCGATGCCAGTGGATTCTTATGACCCCGAGATGGAGGGTGATTCTATTCGGAAAGCAGTGCTGGTGAAGACGAGGAGAGCTACGCAAGACATGGGACTTGGTCGAGAACTCCCGATAGTTCGCAACGAGCAATCTATGCAGCAAGAAGGCTTCAGTACAAAATCTGAGAAACCTTTGCCGCTGAATTTAGTTACGGATTCCTCGTACGTTCTTTCTGACGGACATGGCCTGGGATTGCAACGGGCGCCAGCAAAAGCCGCACTACAGCCCATGGACACGGTTCTGGGATTCATGGACTCACCTTCACCCATTGATGAATTGCCGCCTTCAGTTATATTTGAATGGAATGTTGCCAGCTTGGAAGAGAATGTCCCAATCCTGCAGGGTAGGTCTATTAGTCCATGCGCATCCCGGTCCATCGTCGGCTTAGGAATTGACATTCTTGACAGATCAACCTCCGTAGCAGAGGCCGGCAGCTCTTCCCCACTCGGCTGCGAAGAACACTATTCTTAGCTGAATTTGACCTGCCACCTTCTCGCGGTCCCGTAACTTGATTTCAACTGCTCGAATGTGGTGCTAGGTATCTCGACCTGCCTTTGTTGTTATTATTGTTTGGTAGATGTCTTATCCTGTATTTTCAAAATCCTGTAGCAGTCATAGATTGTTTCCAAGCAATATGAACCGATATGAAAGCACGCTTATGCGATTATTGAGCATTTAACGGAAGCGAAGACCGATCAGTTTAATGTTAGAGTAGATGTAGCCGTGGGAACGCTGATCAATTGTTGAATCTGCTTATTTTACTACCGAACGCGTCCACTCCACACTACCTTGTTTCTAACTAGTACTATCCGTCACAGTTTTTCATCGAAAACATCATGGTACGCGAGATTATCAACGTGCAAGTTGGCCAGGTCAGTAGACCATTCTTACGCGCCGCGATCGCGCGGAGCGGCATTCGGAATAGTGGCTGAATGGTATGTTGGTTTGGTTAGGCCGGCAACCAGCTTGGCGAGGCATTCTACAAGACGTTACTTGCGGAGCATGGGCTTAACTACGAAGGGGTGAACAAATACTGGGTGTATCTATTAGAATTACTCGCTGATGGGTTGTGGTTTGTAGGCGTACGAGGGAAACGATCCTCAACAGCTTGAACGAGTGCGTCCTTCTCAGTAATTGTACCGAATAAGCATCTCACGACACTACCGACATCGTACTCACAGGCCAACGCTTACTTCTCTGAAGTTGAATCTGTCGGAGGCGCAGTTAGATATGTACCGCGGAGCGTTCAAGTTGACTTGGAGGCCGGCGTGCTTAATCGCGTGAGTCTTCGTTGTGGTCTACCTTCGTGGCTGTTCAAAAACGGACTCCCATTTAGATTCGAAGTGGTCCTCTAGGAAAGCTCTTCCGCCCCGATACCTTCGTACATGGTGAAGCTAGTGCTGGAAACAACTGGGCAAAAGGCTGTGAGTCTCTACCATATACATGCCTTATATCCACTTTCATTAACGCCTTTCTTCGTGTTATAGATTACACAGAAGGTAATGTGTTGAGGTTCTCTCATTTTCTTTTTCATTCTCATCCACAATATAGGGGCTGAAATTGTTGATTCTATTTTGGTAAGTAAACTAGTTCTGCTTCACTGTTGACCCATGACGGGAAAAATGCATTATAGGATGTCGTCCGGAGACAAGCAGAAGCATGCGACTCCATTCAAGGCTTTCAGATTACGCATTCTCTAGGAGGAGGAACCGGTTCCGGTCTAGGAACGCTTCTCCTGTCTAAAATCCGAGAGGTCCGTATTAATCAGTGTGCATATAATAGCCTATAGCTTAGCTACTCTTCTAGGAATATCCTGACCGCATACTCTCTACTTTCTCTGTCCTTCCGTCGCCTAAAGTACGGCTCGTCTTTAATCATGTGGAGTGCTCTTCTTATATTCGCTTTCCCCGCCATAGGTTTCTGAAACAGTAGTCGAGCCATACAATGCCATGCTCTCTGGTCATCAGCTGGTCGACAACAGCGATTTGTCTATTTGTATCGACAATGAAGCATTGTAGGCGAAGGCTATTTGCATCACTACACTTCTATCTTAGCTATTGACAGATATGACATCAACTTCCGTTTATTGAAAAACAAGGATCCGGACTTCGCTGCTCTCAACACAGTCAGTCCTTGGGTTTATATTTGGACTACTTCATGTACTAAGCACATTGACAGCTTGTTGCGCAAGTCATGTGTGGTGTCAGCACGAGCCTTCGTTTCCCTGGTCAGCTTAATGGGTTCGTATTCAGCCCTCCTCTTAAGCTTCACAGAATGAATGACATTGTTTCACAGTGACTTCCGCAAAATGGGCATGAACCTCGTTCCCTTCCCTCGTGTACGCGTGTCCCAGTGTCACTATGCCTTTGAAGCTTATTACTAAACTAAAAAATGAACAGCTTCACTTCCTCATGCCGAGTTATGCTCCGTTCTACGACCCGAAGGCGAGGTCTTATCAATCGGAGAACGTCAACGATCTGACACACTCGTAAGACTTCTACCTACAAGTGTCACAAAATCTGGGTATACTGACGTGCCTTGAGGCTGTTCGACCGTAAAAACTTGTTGGTGGCCTGTGACCCGAGACTTGGGTAAGAAAGATATCGACTAAATTGCCTTGGAACAGACTATCTGATCATTCCTTTGAAGACGTTATATGACTGCTGCTGTGGTTTTCCGTGGTGACGTACATTCTCAAGAAGCAAGTATTTCGGTTTCTATTTAAGAACTATAATGACTTATCGGGCAATGGTGTTCTTGCTTTAGGCCGAGGTTCGTCACCCTTCCTAGATTTCCACTGTCCTGTACTCACTGCGTTTTTACTAGGCCTCTATCGGTCAAATTCAGTCTAGGAACTCTGGCATGTTTGTCGAGTAAGTAGCGTCTGGACTGTTCGACTATGTTCGTCATTTTGTTTACGCAATTTCACAGCTGGATTCCGGACAATGTTTCCATGTCCTTGTGCTCCGTTGCTTCCGCCGCCTCCAAGAAGGTGAGATTACTTACTTTCTCGCATATATGCATGCATTAATAATACCATGCACTTGTAGTCTGCGACATGCCTAGCAAATTCAACCTCTATCCAGGAGGTCTTCAAACGCACACACGCGCAGTTCACTGCTATGTTCAAGCGTGGCGCGTTCTTGCACTGGTACACAGGTGAGGGTATGGATGAGATGGAGTTCACGGAGGCAGAAAGCAACACACACGATTTGATGTGCGCATATACCTATCACTTGTCTGTACCGATGCTGATATGCCGCCTCTTATTACTTTTATAGTGCCGAATACCAACAGGTTTGTCTCGGCCTCTATAAATAAACACTATGAAGGCTGACCTCGTTCATTGTCAGTACCAAGAAGCGGCAGGAGAAGAAGCATACGAAGAAGAGTACGAAGAGGAACTGCCCGCCGAAGAAGCCGAGCAATGAACTGCGTTCGAGCCACCGCTCTATTCCGTTCTTCTCCCTTCTCGCTCACCTCTTTTCTTCGTACAACCCCATGTCGCTTACCACACGTCCCCTGCTTTGCTTAAACCAATAAAATGACTAACACTCGTCTGCTGGCACATACCTACTCCCCCAACTTTCTAACAACACATTTTAGTACCGTCGATTCCTAATCCGTCAGCATTCTTTCTTCAGACGGCATCTACAAAATTGTCTTGGATAATGCTATCTTGAATATGTACAGAAGCGACTAGAATTTATAAGAAATATAAGGGAAAAAATGAAGGAAGGACTGATAGTTCATTAGTGTAAGTGTACATCCAGCTGGCTCAATGGGCGAATCGTGGCTCCATTGTGGCTCGGAACAGATTATGCACCAAATTCACTTGCCAATTTCTGGGAATTAGCAACCCAAATTCGGCAAGTGATCTGCTGTAAACACACGCAACCAGAGTGTATCTTTCTGTTACTGGTTGCATAATGTATTAATACTGCAGTATGGAAACAACTTATTCTATATTAGTAATAATACGATACATTGATATATGACACCTTCAAGCCTTCCTTAACTGCGTCGTAGATAAAGATTTGTAACTTAGTGCATACATAGGCAATATTAACTCTAGGAAAGTTGCCCTTGCCACGCACGAACTTGACCTTTAACCACCACCTCAACGTGTGCTGGATGTTGCAGAATGGCACATTCGGCCAAAGCAAAGGCAGCTGGTGTCTCAGCAAGCTCGTTCCTTGACCTCAAAGCGGAACTTGCGAAGAAAGAATCCGACTTCAAGACCGGAAGCGTGCCACGCGGGGAGAAGGTGTGTGTGCACTCTTACGATCCGTACAGCTCAATATTCTCCACGACATGTCTGACAAAATACTGTCTCACAACAGAAGGGGAAAGGAACGGTATGGGTTCGAACGAATAAAGGCGTGGCGGCACGAGCAGCTCGGGATGTGGCTGCGCTTGCAGCGGACAGACAGACAGCGGAGTCTGCGCGAGCCGCTTTGGAACGAAAGGCAAAGATTTACGAGAAGCTGCGGAAGGGCAAGACGGGAGGATTGACGGAAGCACAAGTCGACGCGTTGTTGGTTGATGTGCGTTCAATCCTTTGTTCAGGTGGTTATCCAGGCACTAACTGAATTGCTCTACGGACAGTTTGACGCGAAGCCGGATGATCATTTCAGTAGCGATAGCGAGGACGTGGACGAGTCTTTAATAGCCCCGAAGGCTCTCGATGACGATGTGTGTCCTTTCTCTCCACTGACATGCCATGCCACTGAAGACAGTCAAAATTTCTAGGACGATCCATTGGTAGAATATGAAGATGAATTTGGACGAATGCGTACTGCAAGGAAGAGCGAGGTGCCTCGAAATTTGCTGCCGTCTGCTCAAGTTGAGGAGGAAGATAACTATGAGTACGCCCCACCGTCATTATTATTTAGACAATTTCAAAGTTTTGTCGCATTTACAGTCCCTTCGTAGTTCGTACGTATCTCTATCTCTATCACAAACCGCCAAATTGACTAAACAGGCTGCTTTCTACATAGGCAACCCTGTTAACCATTTCCCGGTCTTCGAACCAACTGCTGATCGCGTTGCCTCGATTCAAAAAGCAGCAGAAGAAGCCGAGACACCACTTGAGGCGCATTATGATGCGTCGAGGGAAGTACGCGCCAAGGGAGCTGCGTTTTATGCATTCTCCAAGGATGAAGAGGCGCGTGCGAGAGAGATGGAGGCATTGAAGAAGGCAAGAGAAGAAACGGAAGTAGCTCGCAATGAAGCTGGAGCTATCGACGTCAGGCCAGAGGAAAACGAGGGCATGACCGGGGAACCGGAGAGCGTGGTTCAGGGGAAGGGGAAGGAATCAGCGAAGAGCAGAGCAACGGAGAAAAGAAAACGGGAGATAGAAGAACGGCGAAAACTAGTTGAGGCAAAGAGGAGAAAGACGAAGGGCGACGAGGACAAGAGTAAAGCAACTTCTGGTGGGGACACAGCGGTGTCTGTGAAAGTAATTGGTCACTTTGCCGCTGTCGAAGCGGCGATGTCGAAATCGCAGACGCAGACGCAGACGAGCAAGACTAGGTCACGGTGGGATCAACAGCCCAAATCGAAGGCGGCTCAGTCTTCTGTCAAGTCAGCAGATGACTTCCTCGCACAGCTTGAACAAGACTTAAATAGGAAGGGCAAGTGAGCTGGACCGTGCGTTTTAACGTTTACAGTGGAGTGCATGTACACAGCGCTGATATTACATTTGTTTCCCTATTCAGCCACCAGAAACAGGACAAATAACAGCAACTTCCTCCCCACCCCTCAGCATGACACTCTCAGTATCGTCAACCATCTCAGCATCGATGCTCCATTGACTCGTCTGGAGAATAGCGTCGAGATTTGTGCCCAGGTGACGTTGGACCAAAAGATCGCCCAGTTTACTTAATGGAAAGGTTGCCTCGTTATCTGAAGAAGGAAGATCGATGGTTTCGGATTGCACGCCTGTCGCCGTGAGCGCAGCGGCAAAGTACAGAACTGTAATCTTGCGAGTTGAACGCGAGCTTGGGGATGTTTGCACAGACATGTTTGGCGATGCGCTGTCCTGCAAAACAATGAGCACAGTGTTCGTGACGTCAGATCCTCAAAAACATGGCATGGGCATTAAATGAATAATCGCTTACTGCGCGAATGATGCCCAAATGATAACGAGATGAGGACAGGATCGACGTTTCCTTTGTCTTTCCTTGTTTGGTCGGATGCTTCTTTGGATTGGACACTTTGGTCGTGGCACTCCCAGTTGATCTTCAACCCGTTCAGTCTCCGCTCAACATTGTAATACATGAGCGTTGCATAAAATGGGCCTCACAGCTCTAAGCAACTTGTGCTCACATTTTACAGAGGAAAGCACGTGAAGTGCTGTAATATGAGCTCTGCATATTTGCATTATCAATTAAGGAACAGCAAAGCTCAATTACCTACTATGGGATATCAAAGTAACATCTCTGCAAGGGCCTGGCGGACTCCATTAGTCTCTTATAATGTGACCGACTGATATCTACGCTTCACCCGTATTGCAACGTTCTACATGCTGTTGACGTAGTTCTGATCCCTTGACTTAAATCATTTGTTGGTTGACTCGTTTCGATCCAGACCTGGAGGCTTGGGGACTTTGACTTTTCGATGGTACGCTCTATCTGTAGACTCAAGGAAGTGAACTTCGGAGGAATAAAAAGGATACAATAACTTTTGTTGCTATCTCTTTTATCATAACAATTATAGAACTGCTCGAACTCTATTGTACTTTTGTTTATATGTTCCTCAGTACCTTATCCCATCCCCCACCATTGGCCAGAGCTGCCTGTACTTTTTCAGATCTAAAGCTCCATCAGGAAAAAGTTGTATTTCTTATAATATATTGTAGACTTTGTAAAGTAACATAAGTATTGTATGTATATTGTAAAGTAATTACAAGACTTGCAAATCAATTGTAAAGTTTGTATAAGACATGTTAATGTATATAAAGGCTCAGTAAGTGTTATGGATGAATACAATCTATTACAAGTATTATACTAACTTTGTATGATAGTCTAAAGTATTATGCTTGCATTACATTTTAATTATAATTTCAAAGAAAGAATTATATTTATAATATAATAATGTAACAATAACTATTGTTACCTTATAATTTATGTAAAAGGTATATCAATGTATATAATACTATGAGAACACTTTTTGCACTATTGTTATCTTAATACAAGTATAATATAAGTATATAAGAGTATGAGAACACTTGTTGTATTCTTATTATCTTAATAAAAGCATAATCTAAGTATATAATATGTAAAAAGCAAGTACAAAGCAAAATCAAAACAATTACAAGATCTTTTTAATTAGAAATCTTTTAACTGTCTTGTAACCAATAGTTGCCCCCTTGAAATTGAATTCCTTAAGATAATATTAGCAAAGAAAGACAAGACAAAGGTAAAAAAAACTCACATTATTAACAAAAGGCAGGTGTATAGATCCTACCAATTTCTTCTTCCCAAAACACCTTATTAAAAGGTGTAAGGTATTGTCATTACCTGACTCATGAATACCACCCCTAATAATAATAATAATAATGTTAGTAGTAGAAAAAAGTAAAAAATATAAGAACTTACACAATTTTAGCTGTTTTAATACAGCTATAACAATCTGGGAGTGCTTCCCTAAGCACTCCCAGAATTTTATTAGTGCCAGCCTTACAGGACACACGTTTTGTGTCCTTTGTTTTGTATGTGTCTGGATTGGCCCAAAAAACAGAGGGGGGGCAGGTGTGGAGAGTACTGTGTAAGATAAGAAGTAAGTCTAGAGATTTCAGGTCAAATGCAAGTGAGGGAAGGGACTTACCAAAGGTAATTGTGAATGCAAGTTGTTGGGAGTGTGTGTGTACAACCACAAAGCAAAAGGAACACAAGCATGTTATCAAAGTCAACATTGAGTGGATTATCAGTAGGGGATTAAGAGTTGTTACTACTTGTTACAGAGCCAAGTCTGAGTGAAAGTGTGTCTGGAGAGTACTGTGTGAGGCTGTGAATAGTACTCAGTAAGTTTATTGAAGTCAATGTTGAGCAAATTATCAACAGGAGATTGAGAGTTGTTACTACTTGTTACAGAGCTAAGCCTGAGTGAAAGTGTGTCTAGAGAGTACTGTGAGAGACAACAAAGCAAGCAAGATAATGAAGCAAGAGATACAAGTAGTGTGAACAGCCAGAAGACCTTGATGAAGCTGTTGAGTTATGCTACACTACTTGCAAACTTTAACCTAATAGCTATCCTTATTGTTCTGAGTCTCTAAACAACCTTGCAAATTCTGTATATGCTTAAATCAGACAGTAACAGTGTATTAAAGATTACTAACAGACATATGACACAGCAAATAGATCATAGTGACAGTAATGAAAGAATCTGTAAAAACAGTAGTAACACATGTAGCACTCTCTATTCTGCAAACTGTAAGAAACTGTGTGATAGTAGTGAAGGTGTGGATTACTCTGAAGAACACTACAGTTAGTGCAAACTGAGCCAAGATAGAGGCATAAATAGCACCTGTTAAAAGGAGATTCTTTTTGCTTACTGTAAAAGTTAGTAAGATGGTCAGAGGGAATCAGCCTAGTAGAATACTTACAGTACTATATTTGATTAGTAAAAACAGTTGTACAGATGATTAACAGATTATCATTTGCTGTGTGTGACCACAAAATTACCTTACATGTAAATAGCACATCTAATATTCACTACAGGTCTGTATAACTGTCTGATTCACCTTCCTCATCATTCTGTTCTTTACTTTCAAGATCCTTGTCATTACTATCAGTATCCTCCTCCTCTTCTAATACTTTACTATCCATCTTGTCATTGTTTTGTTCTTGTAGCATGTCATGTAGTAGGTAGCTATTTAAATGCTACATACTTTTGTGTCTGATTCCTCTACCTTGATAGTGTATAAACATGTCCCTATTAACAAATCTGTAGTAAATTAGACCAAAAATGACTCAGCATTAATATGTTCTAAATTTGAAAGCCTTAACAACATACTTACATGTTTACAAAGTAAAATTTGTAATCTTTGTTCTTATCTTCAGGTTGGCAAGTAAGGGATGGAGGCAAGAGTGTCTAGACAGTACCCTTGGAGAATTGTAGGATTAGATGAGCACCTTGAAGAATAAGGTCTGGGTCAATGAATTCAAAGGTACTAGGATCTATATGACAATAGAATTACAATCAAGGGAGTTGTCTCTCAACAAACAAGCTATTCTTAACAACTTTCATCTAGTAAACCTAAGCAAAATTGAGCTAATTAAAGTTTTAGAAGTTAGGGTCAGCCCCTAGACTCATATAACTGACCTCTATATGAAAAAGTCCAATTATTCAAGCATAAATGTAAGAATGTTTAGTGTTATCTGATAGCAACATAATATTAGCATGTGTCTGTGGATTGAGTGAATCTTAGACTCTTCTAATATTGTAGGTTGTGTAATTGATACATAGTACCTTGAGACAGAAAAGCTTGTCATTTTTTATGTAGAGACTGTATAGCTTGTCTGTAGTAAAGGCCTCATCTTCCTGTCTCAAGAGAATGTGTTCAAGTAGGTGCCTACAAAGACTCAGTAGGAAATTCTAGCAAGTGTGTAATATATCAGTACTTGTATATGTGAAATAGAAAGAGGAGACTGATAATGTACTCACCTGTAAAGCTGGGTTAGAATCATTATCTGAAAGCTACTAATAAAGATGGATTGAGTCCTTCTTCAACATTACAATGTTATAATAGGCCTCAAGGTCCTTCAGCTTGACAGGATCCCTAGATTCTTCATTAAGACTAATACAAGAATGAATCTCATGTATCTTGTGAGACCTACCCTCCAGTTGTAATACTGCCTTTATAGTGTCTTACTTGTTTGTCCTAACATACATGTGCTTGAGTCTCCTGTACTAAGACTCTCCCTGTAAGGATACACAATTGAGATAAGTACAGAGAGCATCTTGTAAAGTATATACTTACTATTTGTATGTTGTATGAATCAGTCATACTAAATTGACAAATAGTAAAAGTATATCTACTAAGAGTATAAAATTTTAGTGTATTAATATTGAGTGTTTTCTTTTTTGTGCTGACTTTTACCTTTTTTTCGTCCAGTTGTTTTCCCTTGCCCTTATCTAGTCAAGCTTGACAGTAACCTTGAGCAGCAATCTCTTTCAGTAGTTTGTTTGTATTGTAGGCTATACATACTATCTTCTTAAAGTATTGTACCTAGTATCCTAACAATGTTATTGTCTCCTCAAGAAGCTAGACTGTTGTCTCTGTATGAATACAAAGCTTCACAAGTGTATGCTAGGTCACTAAGATGAATAAAAGATCAAGGACCACTTTATCATATTTCTTTAGTAGTAAACTATTAAAGGTTAGTATTACACACTAGATAATACACATTCTATTAAAGTACATATATATATATTAATAGTCAAGAGTAAGGCACTTGCCTGTAGAATATCTTTAAAGTCTCTAGCAGCAAATTGTTTCATTACAGACATATTTCCAGAGAATTGTCAGATTGTATCTATTCTGAAAGTAGGAATATAGTAATACTTATAAAATGACAAATATATTTTATTAGACAACAGTAAGACAATTAATAAGATTGTAGTGTTTTGTGATAAATTGTAGAAAGATGGAGGAGTGGATAGGTAAGTACTTACCTCCTATTAAGTGTAAGTATACTCTCCCCTCCCTATGTAAAAAGAATGTGTAAAAGGTGAGTAAATATTGATTTCCAGACCCCTAGTTCAAATTTGTGTATAGGGTCTGAGACAAACAAGTCAAAAAAGTTGAATCTGTACTTACAAAGTATAGAAAAAGTGTTCTAACAAAATAATATTATGTACTAATAAAGAACATTGCCTGGATAGCAAAAGTTCACATATATTAATCAGTATGAGGGACCCATCATTAAGGAGATTTTTAATCTACAAGGACTCAACTAGTCTGCCCAACTCAAAAATCCACTACTGTGCCCTGAAAATCTTATCTTGTCTTATAGTATT